GCGCAAACTTTGGGCACATGCCCGTGCGAGTCCATATAGCGCAGGAACATTAGCGGTATACGCGCCGTCCTATTGAGCCCCGAGTCCAACAAATTATTCAGACATCCTCATGGAGAGATTAATTTCGCATCGCAAACGACAGGGCCCGTCCCGGCTTCATCCATCTCTGCCTCTGCCTCTCTGCTCTCTCTCTCTCTCTTGTCCCTCTGCTTCTCATAGTCGTGCGAGCGCGCCGCACCCCAGCGGCGGTGGTGCAAGGGGGCAATAACACTCGAGTTTAGCATTATATATAACCATGCCATGTATCGCTATCATCATCTTCCTCCGTCGGTATATACACCTGCACTGTGCTGTGGGACGCGCGTAAAAAGGTCTCGTGAAAACTTGATGTAGCACGTATATAAAGTGCCTGCAGCCCTTGACGCTCTATATATATTGTCTAAAGTGCGTGATACTTATATACATGCATCCTGTGCGCGCCTGCCCGAGTCTGAGTGTGTATGATGTGCACGATGATGTGTGTGTGTGTGTGTGTGTGTGTGAGCGCGCGGGAGTCAATGCCTGCCTAATGATACGGTCTCGAGTTTTGCGTAGGTAAGCTACGCCGGGGCGTACGTCAAATCGCGTGCGCTAGATCCATTTCTATCGTATATAACGACGATGCCATTCGCATTTCAATATACGAGCCAATGATACAAACAAATACGTGTCTAACATCGCATTCGTAGACGAGCGTGGAGAATTATAGGCCTGATCAAAGTTTTTACGATAGCTGATAATATTTTTATCCAGCACATGTTGATTGGCTCTGGGCAGCGCGCGAGAGCTACGGCATATTGTATTATATGGATATCGCCTGGCGCGCGCGTGTGCATGCGTGGAAGGAACTCGAGTAGAATCGACCTGAATCTTGCTCAATTATCTAGGAGAGCGTGATTGTTCGTCGGGCGAGGACTATACTACTGCGCTGGGATTTTAAGGAAATTTCATGCCACTACCATACTACTGCTAGCTTTGCCGTTACATATACATATCGCGCTGCATATATATATCCAGACCTTTTTGCATATTCAGCGAATGGAAAGACGAAGCTCTATTGTATACTTACCTGATGATGGCGTTATCAGCGATGTAAGATCTTGGGATAATATTTTTCCGATCCAACGAGTAATTTTCAGTCCGACGATGTGATTACGCATAAAATAACCTGCTGCCAGAGAGGCTTCCTGCGGATTTCTACGTGTAGATTGTCACACTGGCGAGAGCGCCATTGTACATTTTCGTCGTAAAACATGGGCCTTGAGCGTTGACGAATTTCGCCGATTAAAATTTTGCTTCCGAGTGTATCGTTGAAATATTTCAAGAAATTACAATATACTAACTTTTTATCCGAGATCATTTTCTTACTATTTTTCTTTTGAACTAAATATTCCACGCGAGAAAATTGCAGTTAATAATAAAGCCCGTGACACTATCATCTTGTAGTCAAATGTCGCTATGCGAAAAGTACAATAAAACGCGGGAGGAAAAATCGCTGTAGATAAGTGAGAGAAAAAAAAGATCGGGGAAAAATGACAGCGGGATCCTGCACGATGTATACATGTGTACACACGCTCGTAGACGGCAGTTATATAAAGCTGAAGGAGGCCAGTATCCTTTTCTTACAGAGCTACTTATATGATGCGACGTTATTAATCGTATCCTTTCGGTCTTCGTCTCGGGGGTGCACAAGGCCGATTAGTATGCTACCTACGCGCGGCTATACTGCGGCCATGCGCGAGTATAAGACGCGCGTGTTCAGCCTCGCTTTTTTTCAGTACAGCGAGCTGCTACAAATCCGTACGATGATACATATGAGCCGCGCACAGTAAGACTCCTGTGTAACAAATTTTTTTCTTCTGTTCTAAATTGGTTGTAAATTCAAACTTCGAAGATAAAAACAAAAATATTTGAAACAATAAAATTCGACTGCATTCGGCAAATAAATATAAAGAAATGTCGCAATTTTTGTCTCAAATAGCTGTTCTAACAAAATAAATACAAATTTTCTGGCCATAAGAAAAATAAAATTATAGGAATTCGATTATTGTAAAATTTAAAATTGTATGATAGTTTAGAGTACACTCTAAAAAAATTTCAATTTTAAATTGTTCACTTCCATATAAGGTAAATGATAGTGTTTAGTATTTTAATACACAAAGCAATATTACTTTAATTCCTAGCAGAAAAATGTTCATTTTTTTATGTTTGAAAATATTAGTCATCATACTTTTTTTACTTGACGCAAATTCGTTTCATCGCAGATTTTTTGATATTAATGAGATATTTGTAATCATAAGAGACTTACAGTATAATTGTTATAATATAATTTTCATATGTAATAACTTCTATAAGTAGCATAATACTTGGAAGGAACATTTGCCTCGCGACTTTTTAATACGTTTAATAATTGACAGTGAAATTTTTTGTTAAAAATATGGTGCTCAATTCCAAAAAAAGAGTCACATAGACTTTTGACTTTTATAAATTGAAAAATTTTTTCGCGATATTGTACTAACTTTTAAAACTGTACACATAATTAAATACTTTGATCGAAATGAAAAAATAATAAAAATTCAATCATAATTAAAACCAATCTTTAACGCTGGATATCGAGTACCTATAATATCAATAACTCTGCAAGTAACAAAGTAAAAATAATTGTATAAGTAGAAGCAAAGTTTTTAAAAAATAATCGAAAATTCATGATTATTGCATTACAAATAAATAAAAGTAATGTATTTAATGTTCTTTCGGTTAGTTCAAGGAACTAAAGAATTTCTAGAATTACGAAGAAGATTTTAGCTATCTATACAATTGTTGGTAGCAAATGGGATTTTAAGTATTAGCATTGAAGATAATGTTATTAAATTTAAGTTTTTAAAAATAATTCAATTGACGTTTTACATTAAAGTCAAAGAATTAATAAGACCTCATACAAGTGAATGCTATTTAAATTTAATTTAAAGGTTTTTACATTAAATTTAATGCGACGGTTCGAAAAAAACTCTTCAATCCAACTCAAATTAATTTTAATGCTTCTATATGAGTTTGAACTCTTCCACGCGAATAAAAAAAACTTCCACAACTTTTACATTCATTTCAATAATGTAAATATTTTCAACAGTTTAGGCAGTCGATGTTTTCAAATAAACATTGTAATATTTAATCATATAATCAAAAAAATATATATTTATAGTTAAACATCAATACTAAGCTTAAATCACGACAAAAGAAAATTTATTTTTACAGGATACGTTTTGTGAAGTCGTTAAAGTGACATTTTTGTGCGCATGTATTTGACGCTCGAGCGCGGGTGCATGTAAATACGAGATATCTTTGCAATATTGGTCTAAAGATTTTACGATTCAACCTTTTTTCTTTCGTAATATGATGTGGCTTCACAAATGCTAGCGTGCTATGCCAAATAGGCAAAAGTCAAAAGTGAGGAAATTGATGGAAGTCGTATATGTAAATGTATTAAGGTCAGCTGCATTCGAAGCTTCCTGAATAAAGAATATTCTTCATTTTTCTCATATTTTATCAAATTTTTTTCTCACTTGAATATTTTTAGAGAAACAAAACCATCGGAAGAAACATAGAAGTATATAATAACGAATAACTTGATGAATCCTATTAATTTTTGTTAACTAATATTATTAGTTGGTTGTGGTAAAATAGTTTTCGATAGCTGTAAATACAAGATAATATTAGATATTTTAGATTTTAAGGTATTCATTAATTTATGGTTAATTCTTTATCAATTTGAATTATTTAATTATATTCGTTGATGCAATAAATAAGTCCACTGTCTTGTTATCGTTTTGTTAAAATTCCGAAAATTCTTAGCTGAGCCCTTAGTAACTTTGAGAAATAATGTTATAAATATATTATTTACTGGAAATTTTTCAAAATATCAGAAGAAAATACACCAGAAGACTTAAGCTTTCTAAGGAATTTTACTCATCAAAAGGATCTTAAAACTTGAAATCTAGTCAAATTCGATTCAAACTTTCATCTCTTAAAATTTCATTGTGCTTACCCGCAAAGTCGGTAATTACCTCCTAAATTTTTGTAATGCAACGATAAATTTAAGAGTAGCAAAAATGTGGACGTATTAAAACAGATAAGAATAATGCAGAAAAACAGTTATAATAGTAAAAATAAGAGAAAAGAGCATTTATGCGGTCATTTTCTCTTGACCAGCATAATTATACTGAATTTTATCTACACTAACTATGTCCAAAAATTCATGCAAGTGCTACTTAACTTTACATACAATTCCTGAATCTGTATTCATTCTGCCATATACAACCGAATATTATTGTTCTCAAGTTTCTTGTAAATTACGCATGAAATCTGATAAGAGTAAGTCGATTAAGTGATCGAATGTACAAAACTTTTGTTGAAGTGTGATGATATGTTGCCAACCATTTGTGCTTGAATAGCAGATATCGATATAAATTTAGGTATGGAAAAATTTATTTATTCTTGATCAAAAAGGTATAAATCATTTCTATAAACATTGTATAATAGTAATATTGGAACTATTTTAAAATAATAATACTGAGCATAAATATGGCAACCGTGTTATAAATTTTTAGAGTACAGCCTGTACGAAGCATCCACGCATCAGATGAAGTCAAGTCATCGTAACCGAAAATTCATTGCGATAATAAAGTGAGTTAGTACGTGCCAGGACGAAAATGATTATTAGTGCTAATTCAGCTGCTACGGGTATTGGATTTCATTGATACTTTCTGGAACAAGCAGATGCAGCCTTTATCTTGCTGCTCTGGCGCGTACAGTTTCCAACGCTGATGGGTGGGATCTGCGCGGAGCATTGCACTCCCCGTGTCGGCTCGTGTGCTCAATGTGCCAAGGCAGTTGGCTTTCTCGGTGTCGAAGGCCAGTAACGCCGCACCCCTCGTGTCGTGCGCGTCGCTCGTGAATGCGCCAGCCCGACGACGACGACGACGTCTCAGGCACACGCTCGCCGCCGGTACCCCACGATTCAAACCGGTTCCCATGGATCAAAATCAGCGCTCACGGCCAATCTCGAGTGTATTTATTTTTCTCCCGTAGCGTGTGCAGTGGTGATGGTTCTCGAGGCAAAAGTGTTTTTTTGCAAAGTGAAAAAGCAGAGAAACAGTCGCGGCGATGATTGCGCCAAATGCAATCTATGAGAGAGTTTACTTGGCGCTAAATCGATTGCATATCGATACTGCCGCTTCGAGCACACTCTACAAAGTCAATACGAGAGTGACCGACTCGATGCGCTCTCGAAGCTCATGTACACGGGCCACGCATAAATAATGAAATAACGTCAAGCGGTTGATGTATCCAGACCAACGTACAGAAAATTTGCTTAAAAAATGCTGCGCTCGGCGTGGGGATAAGTGATCATGTTGACGCGCACGAATTGAATCGGCGGCCAAACCTATAGAGATATTTATGTACGGAGGTGCGGGGTGATTCAATTAAACTGTGTGAACTGGCGGTCAAGAGGGGGATGGAGGATGCGCCGCAGGAACTTTTTTGTGGATAACCGCGACAGTGATCTCCTTGTAACAGCGGAGAAAATCGGACAGGTTCAGCGAGCATCGCGACGTGTCATGTACTTTCAGGTAAAGTGATTTCCCAGTTCAAAATGTGCAAAAAATGCGCGCGTTGCGCATCTTTTTCAAGAGAGGTATTATGTTTGAAAAAAGGAGGGCACTTTCGAAACTTTTAAAAGCTAAACTTGGAGTGCAAAAGTACACGACTTTCGATCAGAAATTATCCCCCCATCCAGGCTTGATAAGCTGTTGAGCTTTTGTTTTTAAATAGCAACGCGCTCGCAGTCGCGTGCCGAGTAGAGTGCTTACGAGGATCGTCACATATTTTACACGCAGCGGCTCTCCAAAGTGCCCATTGCTGTTTATTATTTTTATTGCGCTTTTTCGCTGCAGTAGTCTGTTGCACGAGCAACCGTGTGAAATTGTTCATGACACGAAACATTTAAAATATATTTTTCTACAAGTATTGTTGTTCTATATAAAAGCGTAACTAATATACTTGCTGAACAGAAAATATTACCATTTTCTTTTTTCTCGTACTATATTTTAAGATAATTTCCTAGTTTATTTATAAAATATTTTTATATCAGTGTTTTTAGATATTTCATTTCGAACCATAAGATTTGTTTTCGTAAAATAATTAATTTATTGTTTCATATTAAAAATTGTGTTTTGTCAAAAATAGTCAAGCAGTTTCTTTCTTAACATTTGCAAATTTATGGTGCCCTACGAGAAAATTTGAATGCCTCAGCTACACTCATTCTTTCCACATAGTCATGCGTAATGATTTTTAAGCGTAAAACCTTTTCACGCCCGTTTACAATGTATGATGAAAAGTCTATAAAAGTCGAGACGTGAACTTTCTCAGGACATTGTGACTATAGACGGGGCATCTGAAAAGAACCCTTTAGCAACAGTCGTGCACTCGGCTCAAGTCTGCCGGAAAGACGACCATGAGAGACAGAAAAATTCGTTCGCACGGAAATGATCCTACTTTGGAAATGGAACAAAACGCTTTACGCGATGTGCAGAGTACATGATGGAACCCTTTTGTGGTTTCTTTAACCAGTGGCTGGCTATAAAGTTGATAATATTTAAAAAGAACAATTTAGTTTGCCGATTTGTTCCATTGTCAATGAGTCGAGAGTCTAAAATCAAATTAGAAAATATTTGATTAGCAGAAAGCTAAACGCTTGAAACGTTTATTTTAAAATTATGGTATTATTCAAGAAAGTTAAGGAGAGTTTCCTTCAAAGTAAATTACAAAATACATACATATAACATGCACACATGTATGTGTACCCAGACATTAGTACTTGAGTAGGATGATGAACTTCAATGTACTTGTTTAAGTAGATAATTGACTCTTGTAAATCGTCTTCTAATGAGTATAATTCTCACATTGCTTGTAGAACATGACTGGGGAAATGTATCCAAAATTCAGAACTCCCACACGGTCTATGTATACAGTTTTCCAGTTATATGCGCATAACTTAGTTTGAAGATAACGCCCCAGTGGTTTCCTCTCGGCTGGCATACACATATATCTATATCTACTTGCACAGTTATATATAATACAAAAAGTTGCAGTCATATTCCAAGTCAAGTTTCCTTTCGAGCAGTAGTAGCATTATCTATCTCATTTGAAGCAGATATCTCTTTTATTTAATCTCTCAGAATTAGATGCATTATCTTACATTATTCGAATGCAGTTTAAAGTTCATAGCGGCGGAAGTGGACTTTTGACGTGGTGCAAGCAATTTTATTCTATTTACATGTCGAGCACAATTTGCCCTTCTTATGGGAAAAAAATGAGAAAGATCGCAGCCAATTTTAAGGCGAGCGAGTTCTGCATAAACGCTGAAACGATGAAAAAGCCGACCAGCTGTGTGATCTATGCATGATTCGAGAGAAAGGGAGGTATAAGACTAGCAGCGAGAGAGAGAGAGAGAGAGAGAGAAAGAGAGAAGAGAGACAGAAAGAGAGAAGGAAGGAGTAGTACACGAGCAGTTGTCGAAACTTTCCAACGAGCTTTTAAGCATCTTTTCCTTTCGCCTGCTTATGCATGCCTCGGCAGGAGAACTTTTGTTCGCCAACGACGACGATCGAAAAGAATGTATATACATTTTCTGCTTGGTGCTAAGAAAAACGATATTTTCTAGCACCCCCGCCCCCTTGCGGCATGTTGCATATAAATATATCTCTGTGTCCGGTTTCACCCAGATAAAAACTTTGTTTCGCCTGCTCTTGAGAATGTTCGCTCGCAATATACTATATCGCGCCGCTCCAGACATATATTGCTGTTCCGCTGCATGGCAAAGGTATTCACGCGCACAACTTATTCAGACAGCCAGGGGATTAATTTTTTCCTTGAGAATTATAGCCACGCGTGTATATGTTTATGGGGAAAATTTTACTCGCATGTATAGTAATTTATTTTGGATGTTCCATTATTTTAGAAGAGCAGCAGAATTTGGCTTGATTTTTTTTACACCCTTGTTACAGTTAAAGTGCTTTACAGTAGTTACTCTTTTATTTGGATTTACAGTCGCGCGAAATGCTAAGCACTTGCCAGTTGAAACTGAGAAAGTCTAGCCAAGATATCTCGACTTTACTACGAGCGGCAGGGTATGGTTCAAATACATAAAAATCGTGCACTTTTATTCGTATGCACAAGAAAAATGTGTGTAATAATTTAACATAAAATTTGATACTCGAGTGTTCAGGCGGTTATCTATCTATCTGATAAATACAATGGAGAATTGGACGCGCATTAGCTGGTCATTTAAATTAGACAGCTACTGTATAACATATTATCGGAAGTAATATTATTGTATTAATAGGAAGAATTTATTTTATAAAATAATTTAGTTTATAAAAAATAAAATATTTTCGATTTATTTCTAACTAAACAGTGTTGTTGGAAGATTTGAAAACTTTGTAGAAATATTTTAGCATGGCAAAATAAATAAACTTTATTGAAAATTTTTTCAGGTCCGTAATGTTATAATTCTGTATAAAAATGTATACCCGAGTATTGAAAATTAACCCAAATTGATCATGTATAACTAAACTTAATGTCTTTTTATTAGGTTTTATCTTTAGTAAAGCCAAAAGTTAGGCTCGCTGTAATCAAAGGTTATCCAAAACATAGATCGAGTTTGGTCAAACTTACATTTTTTAATCTATATATATGATTCCATATGAAAACGTAAGTTTGGTCAATTCTCATGGGTCAAGACTTATAAAAAGTTAAGATAAATTTGACGAAATCGACAATGCTAAAAGAACTTTTGTGAAAGCAAAATTTTTATACGAAGGGTACTTCGTGTCATGTATATCTGATTCTGTATTTCTATAGAATGACTTCTCATGTAATATTTATAGCAGTACGCGGAAGTTGGTTGACTTTTGTGAGCAGCAGACTGCGGTAAAAGATCATCCGGACGTTTATTTCTGACAGCTCGCGCCGAGGCTTTCATAAGAATAAGATTTTATCTGCATTATGTTCATTGTTAGCTCGAGTTAAATATGTGTAAAACTTTTATTACGAATAAAATCTTTTCAAGCAATGTGGACTATACAATTTTTCAACAATTTCACATCAGAAGTGGATTTAATGTATCGTCGGAGATAATATTGATTCTTACTACTTAAAATTCTTTAGTACAGTACAGTAGTTTAGTAAAGTCGTTGGCAACCCTTGACTTTTATATTCAGAGTAAGTTCAAATTCACTTCAACTATAAAAATTAAAATCATTTGTTTGATCGTTAATTTTTTTCCTCCGAACTTTTCTTTACCATGTTATGCATTTTTCAATACTGAAAATTTTTGATTGTCACTTAGATACGCTATTTTTTGTGCCATTTGAGGGTTCATAATTTTTTTAAATTTTTTCTCACGTAACTATTAAAAAAGATTATGGGAGTAGCAGAACCCAGATTGTGCATACTTTCTTTGAATACATATCGCCGCTGCTTATGAGTAAAAACACAGTGAAAAACGCTATGAAAAAATATCTTGGTCTTTCAAAGAGATGTGTTTTTCTCCACGGCATCCGATAGGATGTTTTTTTCACGGTATTTGGTTGAGGTGTTTTTTTACTCATAGGCAACGGCGATATGGTCACAATTGCAATCATTTCTAGAGTGATCGAACTCATAGGTTACTTCGTGCGAATACTTATGAATAATATATTCTTCATTTTTTATTATTTTTCGTGATTTTCAACATAAAACTATCTATTTAAAGCGACTCGTGGTAGGTTTAATCATTGCGTTGAAAAAAGTATGCACAACCTGGCCTCTGTAGCTCAAATATTTCTTTCTAAAAATTTTGTTGGATGTACGTAAAAAAGCGTAAAACAAAAATTGACTGAAACGTAAAAGAAGAAAGAAATGAACACACAAACTCTGACAAAGTCTTGTATTTTAGTGCATAGTAAAAATGTTGAAAATCTTGAAAGCTGCATTTTTTAGGTAGAGTAAAATTTTACTAAAAAAGTAGTAAAGAAAATTAATTTTAAGATGTCTGTTCGTACTTCATTCATTTTATATTTGCAGAATAAAAGGTGTAAATAACCGATACTTTTTTTTAAATTCTTATCGCTGGATATTTTTGAATAAATGAGCATTTTTTGCGCTGCATCGAGTAGTTTTACATATACGCGCACTTAACGATCTTGCGAACTCGAAATTAATCATTTACTTCAGCTCCATCGCTATTTGCATTAATGGAAGAAATTTATGCATTAAAATTACTGTATTGTCGACAAAAATTAGCTATAAAGTCGCGCATCCATTAATCAAACGGCAGGGCCAGGCACACGAGGTGCGCAAAAAGCCCATAACTGCCCGCGTGCACGCGCGTAGGGTGTGTATAGAGTGTTGTGTAGTACTAAGCCGATTGGCGTGTAAACAAATGCGGTATACGAAAGTGATGGCATCAACATTTATATACACAGAGTAACCAACACGTAGCCATAAACACATACACATCAATCACTTTTCAAAAGCAGAGACCCAACAGATCAAAGAAATAGCCATGGTGTGGATGTGTATATATTGT